CCACACCCAACAGCAGGAACTCATTAGCATAATAGGCCACACCCCTGAGAGCACAGCTCATTAGCACATTAGGCCGCACCCCCAAGTTACCAGAAGTGTGGTTATCCAGCCACACCCACCTTTTGCTTGTTATTCTGTTGACCTTGTTTGTTGTCAAAACCCAGGGCCTTTTTTTGTAGCAGGGACTCCTTTGCATGTTAGGCCACACACCCCTAATGTAGCCAATCCTAATGAGTCTCTGCTGTTGGGTGTGGCCTGTTATGCTAATGAGTTCCTGCTGGGCGTGGCCACCTTGGGAGCCAGCCAGAACTCCGTTCCTGTGCGTTCCTGCCCCAAAATAGCCCTGGTTACAGCACTCTGACTTAGAATAAAATCACCAGACTCAAGCGGATGGTACCATTCCAGGTTCGCGGGCATGACCGAATGCTCCCTGTGGCGGGGGGGAGGGGAACCTCCCTGCACATAGAAATCTGGCCCCCCATTGCAAAAGGCTCAGGCTACTTTGAGGGGTTGTTTTTCTACGTGCAGGATTCCGTGTTTCTTTTTTCAAAATAGAGATTCCGAGAGAGTAGCATTCTAGCATGTGCACGCCCCCATACACACCTGGCGCCTGCGGTGGTACGATCCTGGAAAAGCCTTACCAATACCACTCGATTCTTCTGCTTGCATCAGGTGGCTCATAGATTGGAATGCCCGCCCCGTCATAACATAACGGCCAGTTTTTCCTTACAAGTTTTCCATCAGGGAGGGGCTGTGGCTCAGGGGTAGAGCCTCTGCTCGGCATGCAGAAGTGTCCCGGTTCAACCCCCAGCATCTCCACTTTAAAAGGACCAGGCAGTTGGTGAGGTGAAAGACCTCTGCGTGAGACCCTGGAGAGCGCCAGCCAGTCCGAGTAGACTGACCCCGACGGACCGGGGTCTGATTCAGTACAAGGCAGCTTCATGCCATCTGATGTTTCAGACTCCATGCCGGAAAAGACAAACATCCTCACCAATCCGTATTCTGTGTGGAGACCTTTGCCACCAACCCCTTCCCTGTCATCCTCTCAAGGTCAACGCCCTGCATTCAACCATTCAATACGCATTTTATCTGGACCTCTGTTTATAGTTCAATTTCATGCAGATTGCCAACTCTGGGTTGGGGGGAAACCTGGAGGTTTTGGGGGAGCAAGCCTGGGGTGGATGGGGTTTGGGGAGAGGTGGGAACTCAGCTGGGTATAATTCCATACAGCTGATACTCACTCTCTCTCTCGAGGAGCCATTTTCTCCAAGAGAACTGATCTCTGGAGATCAGGGGCCATTCCAGGAGGCCCTCCAGGTCCCACCTAGATGTTGGCAACCCTGCTCCTGTCCCTTTCTCCTGCCTTGCAGCCTGCATCTCCCAGACCCGTAGCCAGGATTTTTTTAAATTTTGGGGGTATAAATATAAGACTAAATAAATGTCAGGGGGCACCCCACACACAACCCTGCACACACACACACCCCAAGTGAACACCACAAATAAAATTAAAAAATAGAACTGGGGGGGTGGATAGGAAGTTGGGGGGGCTCAGCAGTAAATCAGGGGGCCATGCCCCGAGAGGCCCCACTGTAGCTACGGACCTGGTGTCTTCTAGACTCTCCCTGTTACCTCCACTCGGCCCTTGTCTCCCAAGCTATGCTCTTTACCACTGTGATCCTCACATGAAGAAACAGGCGAGCGCCTCGGCATCAGGCGTGGCCGGAAAGTGGCGCCTGGCCAAGGCCTTGTAGCGCTGCCAACGCCGGTAATTCTCGTAAACCCCTTTGGAGGTGCAGGCAAAGGAGGTGTCGCTGGGAGGCGGAGCTCGGGCTGGCGGAACGGTCTCCGGCGCTCTCGGTTTCCTACCCCCCAGATCCTCCACAGCTTTCGTCACCAGCACAGTGTGGACGCCGGGCCCCGAAGGCCCATCTCGGCGAGGGGTGGCCCACCCCAGTGGCATCCCAGTAAGGAAAAATGTCTGAGTACGGGGCACTTCCTCAGTGCCCCCCAACACGGGCCCTTCTCTTTTTAGCTTGATGATCAACTTGCTACCTGGGGCGTCGGCCGAGGTGACTAGCAGGGCGGCCCCTGGGAAGGCAGGCAGGAGGAGGGAGGGGGCTGTGGGGGGGCAGGAAGGAGGGCCGGGGCCCAGGACATGGGCTTGGGTGGTCATGGCCCCAAAGGGGCACGAGACCGCTGTTCAGAGAAACAGCAGTCCCCTCTCTGCGCCCCACGAAGTCCAGTGAGGTGGGCCTTCGCGGAAAGAAAGACGGGAAGTGGCGTCACAATGTTGTCGTTTGGTTTCCAAGAAGATCCTGCATTGTCGATTGAGCGGTAAGTCAGTGGGAAGGTTGAGTGAGAACAGTTCCGGAATGTAGATGTCTCGTAGGTTCTGAGGAGGGCGTCGAGATTCTACCCTTTCCCCCGTCCTGCACGACAAAGTCTCTGAGCTGTTTCCTGAATATCCACACATACCGTTCGAGTCAACGGGCAGCAGGGTGAGAGCTCATTCTTGCTCCTTCCCCGACCCCAGGAGTGGGGAGGTGCTCTACCCCTTTGTGGTGGGACCGCCAACTAGAGCTCCCAACTTTCCAACTGGCCCCAGCAGCTTCTGGGCCTGGAACAGTAACTTCATCTGGAGAGTTTAGCAAGTGGGAACACTCGTCTCCATGCAATCGAAACTATCACCCAATGATGACCAAGTTGCTGTTTTAAAAGCACCAGAGCTAGGCTTGCCAACCTCTAGGTGGTGCCTGGAGATCTCTGGGAATTACAACTGATCTCTGGACGACACAGATTGCTTCTCCTAGAGGAAATGGCTGCTCTGGAGGGTCAACTGTATGGCATTCTATCCTGCTGAGGCCCGTCTCCTTCCCAGACCTCACGTTCCACCACAGATCTCCAGGGGTTTTCCAACCTGGAGTTGGCAAACCTAACCCAAGCTAATCCAACTCATTTTTCCCCCCTGATGATTTGGCGGTCCCAATTCCCAACTAACTAGCTGTTGGGCTACTCATGGGAACAAGGGGCTTGCTAGCATCAGAACACCTCAGAGATACAAACCTCTTCTGACCCCCTTCCTACCCAAATGATGCCAGTGGTCACATGCGCCCACGGACCAATCTAGCCCCAAATAAAATGGCAAGGCTTTGGCTACAGTGATGGTTTGTGAGGTGTGCTTGACGCGTGGTGTCTGCTCTGACATCAAGCTGTTGATGAAGGAGCAGTGTTACCACAACTAAGGTCAACAAGCCCCAAGGTTGAAAACGCAAACCAGCCCGGAGCTGTTTAACTGTCATGGCTTCCAGCACGGAACTTTGGGAGACGCAGCCTTGTCAAAGTAATGAGAATTCTTTACGAGGCGTATCCTAAGAACGGATCTCCCAGATTGGAATTTTGATGGAATTATATTTTAGGTTGTTTTTGCTGGTTTTAAATTGTACGTTGGTTTTAAGACTTTATGTAAGCCGCCCTGAGCTGCTTCGGCGGGAGGGCGGGTTAGAAGTTTAACAGATAAATAAAATAAAAATCCCATATTGTGAGAGAAGTGTCTGACCTTGGAGTTGTGTGCGTTTGCGCTGGTTTGCTTCGCCATATAGCCCATGGTTGTGCAGAGACCAGAGATCCGAGGGAGAAAAAATTCACAGGCACTTGAATCTCTAGCAATCTGATGTATGCAATTAGATATATTGCCAAGCAGTTAAGATATTTTACAGCCCCCAAATTTAATACTGGTACCTTGAAACTGTACTTTTATTTTTTTCCCCAACCCAGACAAAGGCTGTCAACGTTTGGGCATAACTTATGCATTTACTTCATTTATTATACCCCACTTTTCTATTCTACGATGTATGCAATTAGATATATTGCCAAGCAATTAAGATATTTTACGGCCCCCAAATTTGATACTGGTAACTTGAAACTGTACTTTACTTTTTTCCCCCCCAACCCAGACAAAGGCTGTCAAGGTTTGGGCACTTTTCTGTTCTATCCTCCTCACCGTGAGGCAGGTGAGGCTGAGTGTGTTATGCGTGTCTAGCCCACGGCCACCCAGCAAGCCTCCATGACAGAGTGGAGATCTGAAACTGAGTCTCCCAGATTCCTAGTCCAGCAGTACTCTAAATAAAACACCATAAAATAAAACTGAGCGGTTGGGTTCGAACGGATAAAAGGAAGTCCTATCAGTGGCTATTAGCTACAAGGTATAGCTAGGGACTCTGGGGCAAGTGATGCTCTGTCTTCTTGGTGCTTGGGGGGGGGGTCAACAGGGGGAGGGCTTCTAGGGTCCTGGCCCCCCTGCTGGACCTTCTGATGGCACTGGTATTTTTGGCCATTGTGTGACAGAGTGTTGGACTGGATGGGCCTTTGGCCTGATCCAACATTGCCATCTCTTATGTTCTTATGTACCACTCTAGGGGGGACTAATCTTCGTTGTTGGAGATCAGTTGTAATTCCAAGAGTTCTCCAAGCCGCACTGGGAGGTTGGCAGCCCTAGACCTGTCATGCAAGACTTTGGAAGGGACACTCCAAGGGGTCTCCATCTCTGCCATCAAAAATAAAGCAAGAACACAGCTTCAACCTTTCTTTGTTTCCGAATCCTGCATTTAAATTAAAAAGTAATAAAAAAGCTGCCCGGTTGCTTTAGCGATATCCGGATATGTTATCTTTTTTTTAGAAATGTTATGGGCCGTCTTTCCAGACGTATGTTCGAGGCGGCGGCTAACTGCAAAGAAGATGACCCCTGCCATGCCTGTAAACCAAATAGATGTCTTCCCAGCTGCGACCCATAGCAGGAGATGAAGAGACTACAATTCCCAGAATGCATTGGCCAGTTCTGGCTACACCTCCGAGAGCCGCGCTGGGACTGGAACGGTCCCGGCAAGCGCGCCACGAGCGTTGGAGAGGGCTGACTTCATTTCCCAGAATGCGTTGGGGAAATGCGTCTTTTCTTTGAGTTCACTCATTGGAGGATTTAGAGACTGAGTTTCCCAGGAAGCACAGGGGGTTGCTGGACACGTGTTTTGCCTGGACGCGGGTGCGCGATTGTCGTAAGAAGCTGATCTACGTCGTCGGCTGGGAAATCAAAGAAGGCTGAATCTCTATCATGTTCCTGCAGTACTACCTCAATGAGCAGGGAGACAGGGTCTACACGCTCAAGGTGAGAAACTTACCCCCCCAAAGCTTTATAACTGGATACTCAGGTGTTTGGCTTCCCCTCCCCCGGCATCCCCAAAATCCCAGGTGCTACAGAGCTGATTTGCCTCTGTCTTCCCCGGTTTGTAAAAGTCTAAAAAGGTAAAGGTTCCCTTGCTCGAAAGCCAGTCGAGTCCGACTCTAGGGTTGCGGTGCTCATCTCCGTTTCCAAGCCGAAGAGCCAGCGCTGTCCGAAGACGTTTCCGTGGTCATGTGGCCGGCATGACTAAACACCAAGGCGCACGGAACGCTGTTCCCTTCCCACCGAAGTGGTACCTATTTATCTCCTTGCAATTTCTTGCTTTTGAACTGCTAGGTTGGCAGGAGCTGGAACTAGAGACGGGAGCTCACTCCATCATGCGGCACCCGGGTCTCGAACTGCTGAACTACTGACCTTTCACAGCCTGCAGTTCAGCGTCTTAACCACTTGAGCCACCGCAGCTCCTTTGTAAAAGTCTAGTTGCAGGTATTTGGCATCCCAGTGGGATCTTTGTATGGAACTAGTCACCTTGTGATCATTCCCGTCCCTTTCTTTTTCTTAAATCGGTTTAAGATGCGTTTCTAGCCCTCCATAGGAGCTGTGGTGGCTCAAGTGGTTAAGACGCTGAACTGCAGGCTGTGAAAGGTCAGTAGTTCAGCAGTTCGAGACCCGAGTGCGCCACATGATGGAGTGAGTTCCCGTCTCTAGTTCCAGCTCCTGCCAACCTAGCGGTTCGAAAGCAAGAAATTGCATGTAGATAAATAGGTACCACTTCGGTGGGAAGGTAACTGCGTTCCATGCACCTTGGTGTTTAGTCATGCCGGCCACATGACCACGGAAACGTCTTCGGACAGCTCTGGCTCTTCGGCTTGGAAACGGAGGTGAGCACCGCAAGTCTAGAGTCGGATTCGACTGGCTTTCGAGTAAGGGAACCTTTACCTTTTACTAGCTCTCCTGCGCCAGAGCCCCATGGTGGAAAAGGATGGGAAAGGTTCTAAAGGACGTGGCGTGTTGGGTTCCCTTCAGTTTCCTCCTACGGCCGTGATCTGTTTTTCGATTTAGAGCCTTTCTGTAAGGCTTGGGTAATAATAGATTCAAAATACGCAAAGTATTTTTAAAGAGGTGTTTAATATGCTAGGAATGTAACAGACAATACTATGTGCTAATTCTGGTGTTCTCAAATCTAGTGGTGTGGGGGGAGACACCTGCTTTCTGAAAGGTGATTCTCTAAGGTCTGGTGGTTGTAAAGTAAGTACCAAGAATGACTCTTGTTATAGTGTTTGTGGGTGTGCATATCTTTCTGTCATGTTACAGTAAAAATGGGCCTGCTGTGAATGTTTATAATTCAACATATCTTATGGCTGGCTTCAGGAAACAAACAGACAACTGCTCACCAGATAAGAGTCTTGATTTTGGAAACGTTGACTTGCAGTTATTGGGTCTGCGTGTATTGGTCGGGTGGCCACAGGTGAAATGGGTGTGTTACCGGCACTATGGCCCACTAAGCAAATCACTGTGATCTGTGCACCTTGTGATTTGTGCAGCTTTGGACTGTAAGAAATGGCTGATCTTTGCTTCCCTGACTTTTCTTTGAATTAAGCCAATGCTTCGGCTCCTGTCCATGTATCTGTTCTCCCACAGGGAGGGAATCCGATACTCTTGTCAGAAGGTAGTGTAACCTAGGGTGGGAATGATCCATTTATTTACTCAAAACATTTATTAGCCGCCTTGTTTCCATAATATGGATAAAATACATAAAGTACATTTAAAAAAAAAAAACAACCCAGAATTTAAAATCACAATTTAGGATTGCTGGTAAATTAATCAAATGCAGTCCTAAATAAAGCTGTCTTCGACTGCTTCCTAAAGATCAAAAGTGAGGGGGCCAGATTAGAGATGTGAAGGCCTGGGAAAAACCCGTTTTTTCCCGTTTTTTTCCTGAAGCCTTTTTTTTTTTTTACGAAAAACTGGAAAAATTGATTATGGAACATTTTATTTTAACATGATGAATAAAATATTTTAAGACAATATATATATGGTATCAGATTGATCTAATTTTTGTGCACTGAGGACAAGCAAGTCCTAGGTTACAAACTGAACTCTCCAATGCAAGAACAAGATGCATTTCTTCCTTTAGGAGGTGCTATTGTCAGAAGAAAATAATAAGGTTTCAGTTTTGTTTTTGCATGTGGGTGGGTATTCTGTTTGTAATAATTGTTTGGATATACTATATTTTTAATATGCTAGTTGTGATAATTTCATGTCAAGTAAAAATGTCCATAGTCGTATTTTATGTTCCTAAAGTAACAGAATGACTTTCAATCTGGAAAAGACAAAAGAAATGCTAATGTAGCATTTTTTTCAATTTTTCCAAAAATTTCCATTTCCCCCTGAAAAAGCCTGGAAAAAAACTGGTTTTTTTCCCGAACTTCAAAATTTCCGGAAATTTTACATCTCTAGGCCAGATGCACTTCACGGGGGAGGTTGTTCCATGATCATGGGGCTGCCACTGAAAAGGTCCTGTCTCGTGTACCCACCAAACAAGCTTCTTTGATTGATGGGACAGTCAGGAGGGCTTTTTCTTGTGATCTTAATTCCCGGGCAGGAACTGACAAGAGTGTACCCAGTTTATAGTAGAGATTGCTGTGAAATACAAATGAGGGGGTGCTTTTTCTAGATATACTGAAGACCTAAAAAGTTTTGATGGAAACCATAGAACTGTGACTTCCAGTGTGGCGCTTCTAGGAGTGGGATAAGCCCTGTCTGGACTGCTTTGGCTCACAAATTATCCCGTCTTCTTCTCCGTGCCATGCAGAAAGTAGACCCCTCTGGCCAGCCGACATGCTCCGCGCATCCTGCCCGCTTCTCGCCAGATGACAAGTACTCCCGCCACAGGGTCACCATCAAGAAACGCTTTGGCCTCCTGTTGACCCAGCAGCCTCGGCCAGTGGTCTAAGCCGTGTTCCTCGAGCACCTTCGGAAACTGCTGCGGCCCATCAAGATGAGGCCATCTTCTTCCAAAGTCGCCTTGAAGCCATGCGCGGCGGAGAACAGAGCCGCACCTCCCTTGTGTGGTCGGCTTCTTTGTTGGACTCAGGTTGCTTCTGGTGTATTTTGATTTGCTTTCGTTTTATTCTCTTTTTTTTGTCCTGTGGAACAAGGAAATGAAGTCAAAGAGGGTTTTTACAAAGAGGGTTTGAATGCCTTCCCGTTTGCCTGTTTGAAACCGGCTGTTTAATTTCTGGCTTCAAGTAAATAGAATGCTCTGTTATTTCATTCCACATTGTTTTGTATCTTTAGCTTTTTATGTAACGTTTTTAAAAGGTAGTGGTTCGAGCAAGGAGTCTTGGGTGACTGGTTTGGCTAAAGCATTTGGCACCGGGTGGGGTGCAACAGTGGGTCTCAAAGTATAATCAGGGGCTGGAGCACGTGTCTGTTTTTGGCACGGAGCAACAAGGAATGAGAACAGGGCAGTGTTGAGGGAATTCTGGGGGCCAGGTCCTTTTCCAGACAGGAAGGCCTGGCGTGATCTGGTCCACGGGGTCGCGAAGAGTCGGACTCGACTGTGCGACTGAACAACAACAACAAGGTCCTTTTCCTGGGACACCCCCCCCCCCCCAGTTCCCCTGAGTTCTTTTATTGGTTGGGTGGAGACTGGCAAGGGACTGAATCTAGTACAGAGAGAGGCAGTGGTTCGTAAACAAAGCTCCGTTTATTCCGTTATACACACTTAAGACAGAATAACACTTTGTGGCATTTCGATTTCAGTACTCAACATAGCAGTTCAGTATTCAGCATAGAATATTTCAACCCAATATTTAAAATAGTGCATTTGTATAAAACTCCGGCCAACCTAGCAGTTCGAAAGCAAGAAATTGCAAGTAGATAAATAGGGACCACTTCGGTGGGAAGGGAACAGCGTTCCGTGTGCCTTGGTGTTTAGTCTTGCCGGCCACATGACCACGGAAACGTCTTTGGACAGCGCTGGCTCTTCGGCTTTGAAACAGAGATGAGCGCCGCAACCCTAGAGTCGGATTTGACTTGCTTTCGAGCAAGGGAACCTTTACCTTTATAAAACTCAGAACATTCTGGACTAGCTACCACAGTCTCACATGGAACCGCTGCTGGCCAATTCCCCACCATTAGTAAACCAGAGAGATATCTCTTTCTTGGCCCTATAGCAGCAAATGTGCCTATTGACGTACTTATCACATAGGACTACCATGAATGCGACTCAGTGTACCAACCCGAAATCCTTCCCCTTTCTCTCTGTCTCTGGGGTCAGGAAGCTCACAGAAAATCAAGGAGAGTCAAGGAAGCTGGTTTCAGTTACCCTCTCCATTTTGATTCTGATAGTGACACCACTAAGTTCTGGAATGTATAAACATCCTCTAAGGCAGGGGTGGCCAAACTTGCTTAACGTAAGAGACACACAGAATAAATGTCAGATGTTTGAGAGCCGCAAGACATGAACGAATACCACACACACATTTTTATTGGAAAATATGCAAGTTTGCTTTTTATTAGCATTAAATGAGACTGCCAAAAATAAAAACAGAAGGGGTAAAAACAGATATTGATAATGATATTTGTTTGCTAATGATATTTATTCATCTAAGGGAGAGGGAGAGGGGTGGAAAGGAAAAGGAGAAGAGATTGGATTTATACCCCGCCCTTCACAACCCAAAGGTGCTTACAAACTCCTTTCCCTTCCCCTCCCCACAACAGACACCCTGTGAGGTGGGTGGGGCTGAGAGAGCTCTTGACAGAAACGGCTCTTTTTCAAGGACAGCTGTGCCAGAGCTTGTGACTGACCCAAGGTCACATCAGCAGGTGCAAGTGGAGGAGTGGGGAATCAAACCCGGCTCTCCCAGATTATAATCCACACACTTAACCACTACACCAAACTGGCTCTCGTCCAAATTAGAGTCCGCGCACTCAACCGCGACACCAAAAGAATGAAAGAGATGGAAATTAAGCAACTTTAACTTTAAATGCGTCCTCCAAGCCCACCCCTCTGCCTCGCTGGCTGGCTTGGCTTGGACAAGGGATTTAAAAAGACAAATGCCTTCTCCAAGCCAGCCGGTGGGGGAGGGGGGGAGACTCTGAGAAAGCTTTTAAAGTTAAAGTGGCTTTCTTTCTCTGCTCCCCCCCTCCCCACCACCTCAAGCCTACCCAGGGAGGGGAACACTGGCTGGGGAAGGGAAGACCAATCAGGGAGCCATGCCTCCCCTTTGCTTCCCCAGCCGCCCTGCTGGGAGCCACGCAAGATGTGTGAAAGAGCCACGTGTGTCTCCCAAGCTGCAGTTTGGCCACCCCTGCTCTAAGGCCAGGGTCTCGTGCAAGGCTCCCTCTAAACTGTTGAATCCTGTGAGCATGAATTCTACTTGGTGAGCTCCTGTCATTAAAACTGTGAGCGAGCAATTTGGCTGCTGCATGAATTAGTTTGCTCTGAAGCCCTCCTTCCTGAGCGGAGACAAAAACCTGTGAGCCAGAGGCCAGCTCACACTAACTCAGCTTAGAGGGAACACTGGTCACGTGCAGAGTTATCGGTACCAGAAGGCCACAGCACCAGCAGAGTCCTGAAGCCATCCGGGAAACAGAACCAAAGATTCAACTATGCTTTAGAAATTCAAGTCACATCGGTTTAACAGAGGACTGAGGCTCCGTCCAGGCCCAAGAGGAAGTCTGGGTGATGCTTTGAAGGTTCTGTGAAGTTGCGACATTTTCTGGATTTTAATTTATTTTACAGTATGTGCGACTCCTGAAGGAGACCGTCGTCCCTTTCGCAGAGATCGTTTTTTTTCCTGGCCAGCCAGGAGGCCCTCTCTGTATGAATGGCTTTGTGTGTGCGCTTTTCAGCCAACTGCGAGCCTTTCAAATAAACACATTGATTTGCATCAGTGCATTTCAGAGCAGAGTGATTGCTTGGGGCTCTGTTACACCATACTCTTGCCTCCATGTTTATGCCAGTAGCATACTGGGTTCACTTCAAAGTGCTGGTTCTTACCTTCAAAGCCCTAAATGGCCAGGGTCTGGCTTACCTGAAGGACCGCCTCTTCCCGTAGCACTACGATCGGGGAGCCTCCATCTCCTGGAAGTTCCAGGTCCCCGAGAGATTAAGTTTGCCCTTACTAGGGCCAGGGCATTTTTTGCTCCTACCTGGTGGAACGAGCTCCCGGAGGAGATCCAGGCCCTGCGAGATAGAGCTCTTCCGCCAGGCTTATGAGTAGGAGCCGCCGCCACCACTACCCCACCACCGCGGTAGTGTTTAATCGGCTGCCCCCATTAAAGGGGGGTAAGCATTGCCTGGCAGGAGTTTACAGATAGTGTTGTGGGAGACCGCGCTATCGAGATAGCTGGCCGCCAAAATTGGGATGGTGGTTCCCATCTTGAAAGAATTGACATAGGAAGATTACAGCACCGTAATGTAGCATAGATTTTATTGTGGTTTTAAATGTTGTTATTCTGTTACATGTTTTATTGTATTTTATATTTCGGCTCTGCCGCATGTGAGCCGCCCTGAGCCTTTGGGAAGGCGGGATGCAAATCAAAAAAATAAAATAAAAATAATAAATATTATTTTAAACAACCTTTTTTTCCATTTACAAATCCAGCTCCTAGGATAGGACTTTTTATCAGGAAGGAGAACTGTGTTGGGAGAAAGGGGGGAACCGTTTAGCCTTTTCCTCCCTTACTCTTTTCTCACCGTAGCAGCTCTTATCCCCTACCCCATGCTGGGTATCTCAATGTGTTTCCCCCAGCATGAGTAAATGCGTGGGGGGGCCATTTTTCTCTGCTGTTTTCTCACTTGGAGGAAAAGGTTAAATCCTTCCTTGCTCGCTCCCTCCCTCCCCTCCTCCACAATGAGAAACAATCTCAGAAGCTACATTTGCAAAAAAGGAACAAGTCAAAGCAGCCCTAAAAGAGCTTTTAGCCTAAAAAGGGATAAAATAGGAGCTATCCTATGTAAGGGAGGATAAAAGCGATATTGATTCCCGCCCCCCCATGAGAGAATATTTGCCTCCAGATTGAACGGCTGTATCTTCTTTATCTCAGCCAGGCTTGCGCAGCCATGTGATTTGTGAAACTTGGAGGATCTCAAATTGGGCAGGCAGGGCACAATTATGGGAAAATAGACGGGATCTAAATTTAATAAAAACCGTGCGTCAGTGCCTAGCTCAAGCTATTAAGTGTCATATTCTGTTCACAGCAGAGCAGCGGTTCCCAACTTTGCCGGAGTTTTTAAAGGTTTCCCTTGCTCGAAAGCCAGTTAGATCTGACTCTAGGGGGCGGTGCTCATCTCCGTTTCCAAGCTGAAGAGCCAGCGCTGTCCGAAGATAATTCCATGGTCATGTGGCCAGCATCACTAAACACCGAGGCGCACGGAACGCTGTGACCTTCCCACCGAAGTGGTACCTATTTATCTCCTTGCAATATCTTGCTTTCAAACTGCTAGGTTGGCAGGAGCTGGGGCCAGAGACGGGAGCTCACTCTGTCACGCAGCACTATTTCAGTGTTCCATTTTCTACAGTGGCTAACCAGGTTTGTTGTGGGTTTTTTTTGAGAAACTGGCAAACATTGCACAAAGGGCACAGGTGCTCCCAACTATGAACCCGAAGCAAGTGGCATTTGCGTATGGGGTTACATTCCAGCCGTTGATCACCCTCTCCTTCTCCGTTACTCCCTCTAAGGCCCCTGAGATTAGAAGAAACTCACTCTAGTCACCATCAGGACATTACTTCTTGAACACATCTGTGCAGTGAATAAAAAATACCCACTAATGCGTGGCATGGAAGATACTGTTTCCGGGGTCTGAGCTGGGTTTCCAAATGTTTAAATGTTGTTTAAATGTTGGTTTTTATATTAAAAATTAAAAAAAAACAAAAGAGAGCAATAAAATACAAAAGAGAGCAATGGAAAGGGCAGAGGCAGCCATTAGGGCGGGTGGGTGGGCCCACTTTTGGGTCCCAACGCGCAGTCTTAGAAACACTGCAGTAGGGGACACGTCTGAAAAACCCTGCTGCCTATAGAGTAGGGTCTCTTAAGCACGTGGGCAAAAATGACATCGCATGAAGTTGCCTTATACTGAATCAGACCCTCGGTCCATCAAAGTCAGTGTTGTCTACTCAGACTGGCCGTAGCACTCCAGGGTCTCAGGTAGAGGTCTTTCCCATCACCTGTTGCCAGATCTTTTAACTGGAAATGCCCGGGATTGAATTTAGGACTGTCTGCTTGCCATCATCATTAGTAGCCAGAGATCAAGACTTTAGAACAACCT